AATCCTTTCAGTGCTGAGTTAACTAAAAGTCCTGGAATAAAATTGGCCAAGGCAACTGGACAAAGCCAGCAGTGATTACTTCTAACACAGTAACTAACCAATTGAGTATTTACCAGAAGTCAGGTTACATATTAAGTACAAAAGTTGTTTTAATGACATTCAGGTTGAGGAGAACAGCAGGTCCCAATTGGTAAACTGGGCACCTTCAAGAGACCTAGGCAGAACTCTGGTGTCTGAATGACACAAAGTATATCCCAGGAATCCACACCCTGCCCCTCCCACCTCTTCTGCTTCCATTGAATGCACTACCCATTAAGCTACAGAGCGTCCTTTTAGCCCCAGGCCTTTTGCTTTTTTGTCTACTCAAAGGACAATATCTCCACCCAGTCTATTTTATGATTTAGTGTTTAGCACATGCCCTGGGGAGATTGGAAATGTGACTTTTAATTGATTCAGGATGAGTTAGGTATATAAGTCAGGTCTCTCTGAGCTCGTCCCAGATGAGCATTCTAATCTCCTGGCTGGCAGTAGAGGCACTATCATCACTGCTACCATGTTCTTCTCAGTAGACACCTACCCCAAAAAGAAGATGCAGTGCTTTGGATACCGCATGAACAGAGACACTTAATATGTGACCCAGTGCCAAGTGTGCCAGCTCTGGAGCGGGGAGGGAGTTTAGACATACCCCTGTGCTTAGTGTTTCCTTTTGATTAGTTCTAGATGGTTTTACATTCAGGAACTAGTGTCTGTGAGTCCCCTTTGGCGCCGTTTAGCCCTCCCCCTATAAGTAAAGAAGCCCTAAGTGTCCAACCTTGTTTTTTTGGACCACCCCGCTTGTAATATTTAGGGGTTGAGATGCCTGAGACAGATACCTAAATAAGCTGCCTAATGGCCAATCTAGCTTTTGCTTTAAGAGAGAAATATTTGTTATTGTATTTAGATTTATTACTTTTATAAGGCATCACAAGTTGTTTGCACATGTTTAAAAAAAGGCGCTTTACTTTAAACTCAGAGCATTCCCACGCCCAGCCTAGCGCATGTCCATAAGAGGCAGCATGTTAGTTGAACCTGGCTCACCTAACATCTGTATAGATGGAGTCTTTTTGGTGCTTTTATCTAATAGCTGATTGACTCAGCTGTTAGAGAAAAGAGACAAAAAGCCTTTGTGAAGTGCCCAATCTATACAGACGGCTGCAGAGCTGGGTCAAAGTAATGAGCTGCTTCTTCTGATAAAGTGTGGGTTGTTGTTTTGTTTTGTTTTTTATAATGTCTGCAAGCAGCCAGAGTATAGTAGGATCTATTCACACTGAAGACCCCATAGGAACTAAGGATTCTCTTCAGCAAGACACACTATTTTGACTTTGATGTTGGCTGCCCTGCTTTACCTGTGGCCAGTTAGGGTGTAATGCCTTGTGTTGTGTCAGAATTGACTTTGACTTTGTATTTTTGCTATGAGGTTAAACTGTGGATTTGTTTAGGATGGTTGGGACAGGGATGATCCTGTCTTGGGCCAGGGATTGGACTAAATGACCTCTCAAGGTCCCCTATTTCTCTATGATTTTATGACCTTGCCTTCTCTAACAAACATATGATGACACGTTACTGTAGAGCCCATATAGTTTGCAGGGGGCTTGTTCCATGGCCCTTGTGAAGATGAGAAGGGTTTGTGAACCAGTCAGAGATCAGATACAGCAAAAAGCTGCATGGGATCACTGAAATACTCCAGCTGACTGCTGCTGCAGCTTTTATTTTCAAAGGGTGCCACTTCTCTAATTAGCTGCAAAGAACTGCTGCTGTACTCTAGCTGAGTGGAGAAGCAGCACCGCTTGAAGCAGAACTGGCAGAAATTAGCTGTGCAGCCTGTCCTACATACAACAACCCACTGTGAACAACCTGAATACAAATTATTTGGGTTCCATCATAATATAAAAATTCTCAACTATCCCTGGTCAGACGACGAGAAAACAAACGTATAACAGATGTCATATAGTAGATGTTAGTCACCCTGCTTAATGTATAAGTCAACTTAGGCAGAAAAGACTAGTGCAAATACGTGGTTTGATCAAAAAGTTCTAAGACTTGATGTTTGGGGTATTGTTCACCAGGAATTTGTACCAAGTGGTCAAACAATGAATCAGGCTTTTTATAAAGAGGTTTTGATTCGATTGAGGGATAAAGTTAGAAGAAACCGCCGCGAGCTATGTGAAAATGGTTAATGGTTTCTGCACAATGACAGTGCTCCATCTCACACTGCTGTCTCCATTCAAGACTTTTTGGCTAAAAAAACCATTCCTGTGATATCACACCCTCCGTATTCACCTGACCTTGCCCCATGCGATTTTCTTCTGTTCCCAAAAATCAAAATGAAGCTGAAAGGAAGGAGATTTGATGACATTCCAACCATCCATAAGAACGTGAAAATGGAACTCAAAAAACTCACAGTTGAAGACTTCCAGCATTGCTTCCAAAAGTGGCAGGAACGTTGGGACAAGTGCATATCATCTGGGGGAGAGTACTTTGAAGGGGACAGCTCATAAAAATGTTGTTTGTACACTATTCTTTAAAATAAAGGCTAAGTCTTAGAACTTTTTGATCACACCTCGTAGATTTTTCAATGAGAGAGCAATACCTAAACAACGAAGGAGAGGAACAACCCACACAATAAAAATATTTTTAAAAACAAGTATTGACTTAGCTGAGAGTCTGTTTATTATTAATTGGCTACTTTCTTGTGACACTGTAGTAGCTCTGTGTCCTGAGGGAAGAGTTGAGCATATATTAGAATGGCATTATTGAACAGCAGGCACTAATGTTAATGATAGACTGTCTTTCCCAGCTTGCTGCCTAACTTACTATTTGCCACAATATGCACCAAAGTCAGAGGGCCCAAAGCAGAATTTAGAGTCATGTCATATTTTCCCTTCCCTCATTCTAGGAGGGTTGGATACAGTGGCATAACTGGTGGGGCTGGGAGGGAGTGGTTAGGGATAGGGATGACCACCCCAGGTGCTAACTTGGGGGGTAGGAGGGTGAAAAAAGCAGCTGCTGCTGGCAGCAGCATGTCTGCATTGGCAACCAGAAGTCACCGCTTCCGCTTTCCATTGGGCACCTGGTTGCATTTCTACACTAGTGGTTGGCCGTGCTCTACTACTGCACTTCTGATGAATCAGGGAGGTGAAGTGTAAGTAAGCAGGAAAGCAGCAATGAGGCGTCAGAGGCAAGGTGATGGGGAACCCTGACCTAAAGGATGGGAGAGTAATTGTAAAATGGCAAATGGTGGGCGCCAGAAAAGAGCAGAAGCAATGCTGGGCAGGAGCGAGATGCATGAGGAACGGATGCAAGGCTATGTCAAGAAGGATAAGAAAGAAATAGAGATATTCCCAGAGGCAATTTGTTCGGTTTTTTACCTTTGGGATGCTGGGGTTGTCCCCAGCCAGTAGTGGTATGGGCACAGAAGTCTACATGGAGACCTCTTTTTCCTCCAGGCTTTGGCTTAACACATAGCTGGAGCATGTCCATTGAAAACAGAACTCTCCACTGTGGAAGAGAAAGAGGCAGGCAGAAAATAACTGCACTGAGCATGCTCCAACTAGGTGCTAAGGAGAAGACAAGATAACTACCACATTTCTAAGATGGTCATTTCTGTGGCCACAAGATGGATTTCTTTAGCAGCTGTTCAAAAAAGGAATCCCGTGACCAACTCAATAGTTGAGGTTTCATGGAGTTGGCAGGGTCTGGATATATACTGTCAAGCAAGAACACACTGCATTTTACATTTAACAAGGAAAATCAAAATGCACAATGCTATATGTATATCACATGCTCAAGGTAATGTGAAAACAGCGCAAAGTTTCAGAATTTCTTGAATTTTAAATAATCCTATCAATATGATTTTTTAAAAAAAAACACTATCTCCTTATTCCTTAGGAATAAAAAGGTCTGAGTTGTTCAGCTCATGGTACTTATCAGTTCTACAGTCTCCAGCAAAGAACATATGTAACATAATGCTTAACTCTTTATCCTCATGGCCTCCAATATCTTTATATCAGATTTCCTCAACTTAACAGCCTTAGGTACTGCAAAAGACATAATTTCAGGCTCAGGTTTTTCAGACAACCCTAAGGGAGTTAGACACCTAAATCTCATTGAAATTCATTGGAATTTGGACGCCTGACTTTGTTTTCCTCTGAAAATCTCAGTTTCAAGCCATTCTAACATAAGCGTGGGTTAAGCTCTTCAAGGCCTTGGAATGTTTTAAATGACATCGGACACGGTAAAAGATATAGTAAAATGTTACCTTCTCTCTACATACTGAAAAGACACACGGTCAATGGCAGGCACTGAGCCTCCATGACCTACTGTCAAATGGGACTGAAAATGGGTTAGCCTGCACTACAGAAAGTGCAGTTTACTCATAGCAAAGTGTATTTAACTCATAATTTACTCAGAGTGAGCCAGGCTGTCTGTGCCTGGAATAGTAATACCCATCATTGTTATGTCATCTCTGTAACCCAGGGTGGTTCTGGTAGCTCAGTGAGAATTGTCATTTCACTTATTCTTCCCAGCAATAAAACCCTCTCTGTTGACATACTTGATCACATTCTAAATGGTGTTTGGCAACAGAAAGCATGAGAAAGGCTGGAAACTTCTCAGGCTATATTACATTCCAGAAAATTATAGGTTTTGTTCTCATACTCCCATGTCAAATTACTATAACAGTATTTGGTAAATTACACAGCTTACCAGTACAGCTTTTTTAAATTTGGCTCCTGTCTGAAAGTCCCTGGCTTCTCTAATGAATTTAAATGCAAAGGAGCATTTCCTTAGGTGTCAAACTACACTAGCATACAAGATGTGGCAGTTATTAATTGTATTTACTATTTACACACAGCAACACATAAAACTAGCCTAACTTATTCTTAACTTATGACATTAGATTGAAGCGCAGTTTTTCTTTTAAAGGGTAGATGTATACATGGAGGGGCAAGGGGAACACTCACTTTCTGGGTGGTCTGGGCAGTCTGTCCTTGTTGTCCCTCCTCTGCTGTGCATTGTTCTGTCTTCTGTGACACAGCTGAACATACTTCAAAATCGGTATGTCCCAAATCCTGTAAATACTGGTAAAGAGGAGAGTTCTGAAAGAGAGTTAGAAAAGAAAGTCAGGATGAATTCTTTCCTATTCACTTGCAAGAAACAACCGTCATGATTACAACATCCCTACCCTACAACATACAGTTAAACCTCTGTGAAGTGCGCCACTGAAATATTTTTTCCCCCCAGTCAGGATCACTACCCTCATATTAAATTAGGAGTCAGGTGTAAGAGATAGATATCCTATAAAATGAGTGTTAATATGTTTAATATTTAGTAGCAGTTTTCTAATTTCAATACTTTAATATTTGCACAAATACTCACAAAAGTATCTGTTTTCTCTAACTCTTGAAGATTATTTGCAATGAGCTGTAGAGAGGTCCTATACTGCTACTTCATACATGCACACACAAAATTATTGAAACAACAGGCAACAAGAATAAGCACTATATTGCATAATATTTACTTGCCAATTCATAAATTCATTCATTTGTAATGGCAGACAAGGTTCTTTGGGTAAATCAGATATCTTTTATTAGACCAACGTAAATAGTTGGGGGAAAAAAATTTTAGGCAAGCTTCCGGGTTTCAAAACCCTTTGTCAGGCTGAGGAAGTTTCTGCAGCTGATGTGTGCTCTTCATTTATAATATGTTTTCCATGCACCATTGGCAAATTAGTGAATTTCACCTATATGCCTGTGTATTTTTATACATGCAACAAATACATTACAATGTAACAAAAGGCTATTTGTACAGTATGAGTTTCAAGTCAAAAGGAGTCTACACTACTAAGTGCTTATTCCTGCTCCGCGGAAAGAAAAATATGCAAGCAGATTTATGGGATGGTACATAACTATATAAAAAGAGAATGAGAAATTTTTTGAACTTATCCATTTAAGCTCATCCAACTGTTAAGTTATGAGTCCTACATGTGAATCAGAACGTCAATCAGCTTGACAGAATATGCCAGAAAAGCCATATTTTTACAGCAAAATGTGCCTGTGTGAATAATTTCTCTCTCTCTTCTACAACTCACAAGGAGATAGGTATTAGATAGGGGTGGGTAGTAATATGAGACACTGATGGGAACCAAGCACATGGTCAATTAATTTCTGTAACAGTTACGTTTTTCATGGGATAATTTAATCATGGGGAACAGGTGAGTCTATTAGCACATTTCTGCAAAGGTCCTCTAAGTATTGTCTCCGTCTAAAACAAAACCCAAACCAAATACTTTCTAAGCCTAAATGAATGAAACTTCATAACAATTTTACAGAATAGGAATATATTACCGAGCAAGAGACTAAGTAGAGAAAGGCTGACTTCTAAGCCACGTGTAACAGCTGTGGCAGAACCAGAAATATAATGTAGATTGCTTATCTTTCAACCCTGTACTTCACTACAAAGTGAAACAAAGCCAAGTTTCCTCAAGCATCCCTGCAGGGTCTTAGCACTTCTGGCAAAAAACCCCAACCAATTATTTAAAACTATTTAAAGAAACAGTTATGAGTTGTTAAACATGATGATCTCTCTTAAAGAAATAAGATCTCTATTTCTATGAAAAATTCAAAGAAATATTTCTATGAAAGATCTGCAGCAAGGCAGGCTAGACCAGGGGTGTCAAAGTCATCTCAGACTGGAACTGGATCGCAGGGGCTCTTCCTGGGCTGGACTGGCTGGGCAAGCAGTGACAGCGCTGTGGCCACATACAATGGCAGTGTGGGTTCAGGGCTGATCTGTAATGTGAGTCTGGGGGCAGGCAGCAGTTGTGGGCCACATTTGGGCAGGAGCATGGGAATCTGGCCAGGTATCAGCATAGAGCTGCGGACACATAGTGGTACAGAGCTTGGGCTGGGCAGCAGGTAGAGCTGCAGGTGTGTGGGGGTATGGTGCTCTGGTTGAGCGGCAGCATGGAGCTCGGGGTGTGCTGTAGCGCAGGGCTTGGATTGGGCTGCAGTGCAGAGCAGGAGGCATACAGTGGTACAGGGCTGTGTCCAGACAGCAGTTCAGGTCTTGAGTAGTGTGGCAGCAGCAGGCTACATTTGGGCAGCAACACAAGAGCCGGAGGGCTGCTACTGCTGGCCATGTCCACGAGGGTCCAGGGGCCCCGAGGTCTGTGGTAGGCCCCACCTAATTTCTAGTAGTCCATCAGACTACTGGGGGGCCAGATGAAACAGTTCTGCAGGCTACATAGGCACCCTTGGCTTAGATAGTTCAAGACAGTCCATTATACAATCATAAAATCATAGAAAATTCAGGAGGTCATCTAGTTCAACCCCCTGCTCAAAGCACAACTATTCCCAACTAGATCATTCCAGCCAAGGCTTTGTCAAGCTGGGCCTTAAAAACCTCCAAGGATGGAGATTCCACCACCTCTCTAGGTAACCCTTCCATTGCTTCACCACCCTACTAGTAAGAAAGTTTTCCTAATATCCAACTTAAACTTTGCTTTCTGCAACTTGAGGCTATTGTTCCTTGTTCTGTCATCTGCCACCACTCAGAACAGTCTAGCTCCATCCTTTTTGGATCTCCCCTTCAGGTAGCTGAAGGCTGCTATTAAATCCCTCCCCCTCAGTCTTCTCTTCTGCAGACTAAATAGGCCCAGTTCCCTCAGGCTCCCCTCACAAGCCATATGCCTAGCCCCTGAACCATTTTGTTGCTTTCCACTGGACTCTCTCCAACTTGTCCACATCCTTTTTGTAGTACGGGACCCAAAACTAAACACAGTACTCCAGATGTGGCCTCACAAGTGCTGAATAGTGGAGATTAATTACTTCCCTCAATCCGCTGGCAATGCTCCTTCTAATGTAGCCCAGTATGCTGTTAGCCTTCTTGGCAACAAGAGTACACTGCTGACTCATAATTCATTTGAGACTCTAAAAAAAAATAGGAGCACATCTGTATCATCTATACCATAAAACTAGATGACTTCTTATTTGCTTGCTAATATTCCCTCTTTGGCAATTAAAATGGTCAGTACAAACAAATAAACTCCTGTACAAACTGAAATGAATTCTGTTAAGTAATGTTAATTAGCTGAACACAAAGAAAAGCTGTCAGTGAAATAGTGAAGTTAGTTTGGCTAATAATACTTTACACCACTCCCTCTTTTGCAGGGAGTCATGAATTATTGCCCCTTCTCAACATTTATGAATTACGAAATCTCTATATTGGCTAATAATCCTTTATGCTTATAGTGGTCATGTGGGTAGAGGAAACATTTCTTAAGAGAGACAGATGAATTTAAACTAAACAAAATACTTTAAAACTTTGATTTAATATTTAAGATTTTTAACATTCACCTTTTATTAATAAAAATATACCAATGGAGAGGTGAGTATACGGCTATATGACCAACACTTGATTGTATGACAAACACTTGATAGGGATAGTTTAATCATGGATGATCCTGCCTTGAACAAGAGGTTGAACTAGATGCCTTCCAGAGGTCCCTTCCAGCCTGACTTTCCTATGATTCTATTACCCAAGAGGATTCTTCTTGAGTGAGTAAATTTAACACCTCTGAATCAGAAATACCCATCTACACAGGTATACGAGAATATGAAATTTCCTGGATTTCAGTTAGGCATGTTTCAATATGAAAGAAAATTAAAATTTCATTGCCCTGATCTTCAAACTCATCAGTACAATTGTTCTTTATCCCTATCTGAGACAGTGTGAGAAAAAAGGAAATGTATAGTACCCAAGACTTCATTAGACCTAAACCTGCCTTGGGTTCTTTTCAATATACTACTCTAAAAGAAAAGTAATTTTGGATTAATTACCTAGGCTAGCAATATTCATCAATCTCTACATGAGATACAGGAAACTGACCCAAGCTGCAATTAAATATTTAAAATAAATGGCCATATTAAGTGCTACTAACTACTACTAACATAATTATAACAATTCAAATCAAGAAGAACAAGATCAAAATACTGTTACCTCAATAGGTAGATTGGTGACATTTACCAAAAATGTAATTCAACCACTGTTTCTAAACCAACACCTCAGTCAGTTGTGGTTATACAGCACAGTTCCATAACCTAGTGGGTACTATAACTTTTACATCAATTTCTTAAGTATTGCCTTGATCATTGCAACAATTTAAAATCATAACAAATGCATATTGTGGCATGCTACTCTTGAATTATTCTCAGCACTGACTCACCATTCATTCACTATCTGAAACTCAAACATGCTTTCCAACAGACCACTCTAAGCCATCTTAACTCAAAGCACTGGGTAGGCAACCCCCTTCATTCATGATGATCAACCACTCTGGAACAGACTAATGATTCAGCTTTTCATAGGAACTTTCCAGGAAGACAGCTCACTCACACTGTTATTCAAGCATTCTTCCCTTGAAAGTAGGGTACAGCTTCAAATGCAGGTAAGTCTGGAATGTCTCATTTGTCACTGTCATGGGTCATAGACTGGGTGGTAGTAAAGCACATTCTCTTCGCACAAGAAGCATTTAAATTAAAAGGACAGAGAAAGTACAACAAGGTAGAGTATGATCTTTCATAATTTTTAACATAACGTTAAATTGCTTAAATAACATCCTATAACAGGGGCAGGCAACTATTTCAGGCAGAAGGCCATTTACTGAGTTTTGGCAAGCCATCAAGGGCCGCATGATAGGCAGCCAGGGACAGATATATATTAATTTTCTAAATTTTTTAGGGGCCCTGCGGGCTTGATAGAATGGCCTGGCGGGCCGCATTTTGCCCACCCCTGTCTTATAAGCATTAACATTTGGAAGAGAAATAGTTAAAAACTTAACCTTAGGCCTCTTCTTCACAGTCCTCCAGCTCACCCTTAACATAGCTAATATCTCTACTGCCTAGGGCTCCTAACAAGACACAGGAGTATTTCAACCAGAGCTGGTCAGGGATTTTCATCCATGAATTAGGAATGATTTGTCAAATCTAAAATGCATTGCTTAAAAAAAATCTCAGTGACAACTTTCACTGAATCCAAGGCTGGATCCAAG